TCCTACGCTTCTTCTGCCTTTGATTTTACCCTGCATTATATTCCTAGAAGTTCGTATTTTTTACCTCTCATGATGTGCCCCAAGTATTCCAATTTCCTGATTTTTATGGAATTTAAAACTTCGCACTGTTTTCCTAGTTTTTCGAGAACTTGTTCGTTTGTTTTGCGATTCATCTATGATATTTTCAAAATACGTCGGTAGCACCACATTTCGAAGGCTTCTAGGCTTTTAATGTTGGATTTTTTAAGTGTCCAAGCTTCAACTCCATACAAAAGGGTAAAGAAAATATAACATCGAAGCATTCTTATCTGGAGTGATATATTGATATCGCGATTACAAAAAAGTTTTCACATTCTATTATAAGTGGACCGTGCAATTTCAATGCGGCATCTTATTTCTTTTGTCTGATCAGTATCTTCTGTGATCCATGCTCCAAGCTATTTGTACGAAGATATTTGTTTGTTAAGTGTGTAGTAAGCCTAGAGCCTTCAAAATAAGCAAATAACGCAGAAATTTACTATGAGTAAATTATTGTGGAATGAAATAAATAATTTTAAACACTAATCTCAGATAAATTATAAGTCCAGCGATATACAGAGAACCAGAGTAAGGGGGTCAACATATTTATTGTAACTCAAGATCTTTGTTTTTGTAAAAATTATTCTCTGAAAATAAAATTTTTTGATATCTTCTATGCACACACAGAAAGTATTTGTAATATTTTGATCTGCCACAGAACCTTTTTATATATAAAATCCATTATTGATCTTTTTTTTTTGGTCTAGCCCACAATATATACTTTTGTGCGTAATAATGTTTACATGTATATACTTCTTTACGATAAGATACTATAGATAATATAATCCCATAATTGTGATAGAATACAGATGAAGAGTTATCAGTCAGTAGTAGTATATAGAGTATGGGTATGATTAGAAAATACACAAGGTTAGGAGAGGCCTCAATTAAATTTTATTATGTATATACACTTTACAGTTAGGCCCGTACGTTGACTAAACACTGTCATTTCGACTGATCTGTCAGTTGTGAATGCACCAACGTGAATTTGGCAAAAAAAAATGAAATAATTGAACTGTAGGTATACAATTGCATATAGTACAGTTATATTTACTATAGCGAGAAGTTATTTTTTTACTAAAGAACTTTTTCATTTAACATTATAGCTGCTTTTAGTTTATTTAAGGAATAATGAATTAGACTTCTCTATACTATTAACGATAATCACTGAATCAAATTTTGAAATTATCAATACATATTGCAAAGAGATAGGCAAAGGGAAATTATTATGAGAGTATTATCATTCACTTGACGTTGCATATGTAACTGGGTTTATAGCTTTGCTGGTAGCTGTATTTCCATGTTTTAAAAGTTAGAACGTGGCAATATGTTGTTCAATACTTTGCCTTTAAAAAATGAATGATTTTAAAGTTCTCACACAACACAAATTTTCCAAAACTGGGGTTTCACTCTTAAGGGGGCCTTGCATATAGCTTAAGCAGAAGATGTGACAGATAACGACTCCGCCAAATAAGAAGGCATTCTAGCATACAATTTGGAGCATATAATCACTAATGGTATTTATTGATTTTATGGTATATAAAGGAGCATTATTCAAGAATCAAGACTGATAGAGCACCTTTCATTAAAATGTTAAATAAAGTCACAGATGAGAAAAAACATGATGTTCTTCTTATTTTAGCAACCTCTTTACAAAGGGTACCCCCGTTAGGATAGGCAAAATGCGCTGGCTCCAAGAATTCAATTTTTTTCATTTTTTACGTTCTATGTAATTAAAAAATAAGACTCAGCGCAATTTTTACTCGTTAGTCCCTTTCCCCCACCCCCTAAAATGTCATTTTTTTCATTTTTACTTTTTTTGACGGTAGTTTGCAACCAATTTAAAAAGTTATAAAAATTCACAAGCATAGTTGACGCTTTTACAAAAAAGTTTTCTATTTTTTATATGTAGATCCTTAGGTTGAGTGTGCATAATCTAAAAATGCATTTTTTTTTTCGAAAAAAAAAAAAACAAAACTTTTTGGAGCTCGCTGCAGCTTCAATTTTTTTTGTATTTTATCAAAAACTATTCTGATTTTTCCAGATTTTTTCGTCAGGTATGCCACCTGCAAAAAAGCTGGTTTTTGAGTTTTTTTAAAAAATTAAAAAATTTATTGCGGTTGTATGGATCTCAACAGATATGATTCCGCAAAAACCCTTAAAAACCCCGAAAACCATGTTTTTTGGGGGTTTTATAGGTGTTTCCCCCAATTTTTAAATATCCTAAAGGACTCAATTACAGTATATTATATGTAACCTATAACAAAACTTTAGATAACAAAAAAATTATTTGATCTATTCTGCAATCTATAAAATGGAGATAATCTCAAAAAACCCTAAAAAGAGTTTTTTTGGGTTTTTGAAGGTGGCGCAGCAGAAGAAAAAATCTGTAAAAATTAGAATAACAGTTTTTAATAAAATAAACGAAATACAAAAAAAATTGAAGCTGCAGTCATCTCCAAGAAAAGCTATACGCTTTTTTTGAAAAAAAAACAATGCATTTTAGGTTATGTAAACTCAACCTATGGGTCTGTAATTTTTTTTTTATTAACATTTAAGATTTTTACAATCTGTTTTGCAGTGAAAACAATAAGTAAAATTTTTTGTCTTTATATGACAGAGAGATGTAAGGTCCAGTGACCAAATCATCACGACACAGATTGGCTTGTTTACCGGTAGGATGCGCACATACACTGAGTGCTCGCGTCTGTAAAAATAGACAAGTTTTGTTAAAGCCTCAACTAGCGTGTGAATTTTTTGAAATTGTTAAATTGGTTGCAGACTACCGAAAAAAAAAAATAAAAACAAAAAATTTTGTATTAGGGAAAGGGGGTGTGAGGAAGGGTTTGGCGTGTAAATATTGCGCTGTCTAATTTTTTAATAACTAAGATCGTAAAAAAATGAAAAAAATTGAATTCTGGGAGGCCATTTTACCTCTTAACGGCGGTACTCTTTCCACCTATTGAATTATTTGCGTTTTTGGACTATGTTAGGGTAACTGAAACTAGAATTGTCGCCTGGTTTCCAATGCGATGAAAATGAAACAGAAGCGCTTATGAACAGATCTCAATAAAGCTGCATGCTAATTATTAGATGGGCTGATATTATGATCAGCATGACATCTACAAAATTTGGGGTAAGTCCTCTAGGTGAAATCAGAAGATACTCAATCCGCAAGAAAAATATTCAGGTCATCAAAACTAACGATCAGCAGTAGTATTTAGACATCTACATGCTTCTTCTATATGAATCAAAATCATGAAAACATATTTAGCTAAGTATACATATCCTGATAGAGTTGGCGTAGGTAACACACGAGTGCTTTAAGCCATCTTTGATAGTAGGGGACGACATATTCTACTTAGTTCAATAGAAGACGACAACAAGCGATGCCCTAGCAAAGGATGCAGCTATGAGAACGATATGTATCAAAGGTAAAGTTTCACTTTACGTTGTCATGTCAGATTCTCCACTAATATCTAATAAATATTGGATGCTTTATTTCAGTTTTTATAAATGTGGCGATTCTACTTTATTCTATATTCTAATGTGGACTGTTATTCACGGTGGCGATTTAGGAACATGATTTTTAACATGTATAATATAATTTAAAAAAAATCTACAATACAAAAGCAAGCTAACTATATGCTACTGCAAAGTAACAACCGTCCTTAAAAAAACTTCAGCCGTTGATGGTCTAATTTTGTATAACCAACCCTTTAATGAGTTTTAAGAGAGGATTTGACACTAGTTAACGCTGATGCAATGAAATGTGCAGACGTATGAGCAAAGAAAAAATGCCTTTCGGTGTCAGATCATTTACCAAAGACGCTGATAATGTAAACTAATCTCTCTGGACTGCTAAGGTACCATCACTTAGAGATGTTTAAAAGAGATTATAATATAGACAATAAGAACTGCCCTTTGCTTAAAATATGTGTTTTCATAGAAACTTTTCACAACTTTGCAAATAATACCGTGGTATGTTTAAAATAAGAAATAACTCTCTAAATTTGTAATAATAATCAACTCTTTTCTTAGTATAAACATTATTATGTATTTTTACAATTAACGTAAGGATATGGCTTTTTAATTGCATTAATCGGCACTTTACAGAGTTATATTGATTGTTATAAATTTGCCCACGTTTAATATAATTGCCGATTTTCGTATTCAGTCTGGCGATATTCTTCAGTGGAAAAATTGAACGATATCACATGTACATTTTCACCAAAAAGTCACAAATAATAAATGAATTATGTAGTTACGAAACGACTAAAAAACTCATATTGTATATTTTCACAACTGACAAATCACAAACAGTTTCTATATCGTTTGCACAGCACATTCGGCAGTAGCCAATTTATCACTATAATTATTGCATTTATTCTATTTAACAAAAACTTCAGTAAATTTTAACATTATAGCAACTTTTTATAATAATTTTCTACAATTACCACCTAAGATTACAATAGGAAAAGGTAACATATATGTTTGAACATATATTGACATCGAATTTTATCAAACCAAACATTTTAACTTGCTTGAAATGGATAAAAATCGTGTTTATTCGTTAAAAAATTTTAAAATCTACTGTAACATGTCATTTACGCTCAAATCTTTACTTGCTGTTCCCTTGAAGCCACTATAAGTGTATATTGAGGTTAGCGTCACAATAAGGAAACATGTCCCAAGCCACGGGTAGAAAGATTGATTACGAGTTATTTCGTTATGTAATTGGGTACTAACATTTATAATTAAGTTACATGATACAAATTGCTTATAATATTATAATAAACCGAAGCCAACATTTTATATACAAACAATGTAACCATTTTACTGTAATACAGTCTCGTGTCGAGTCAACTGGAGTTTAGGAAGGGAAGACGAACTGCCTGACATTACAGTAAAGTAGTCGGATCTCAAGAAACATCAGAATGCTGGTGCCTCGTCTTCTTATTCGAAAATGTAAACCACGTGCCTACTTTCCTTCCTAATGAGTTATTTGAAGTGGAATTTAATTGAAGAGTTGATCCCATATAACCTGAATCATGCTTGAAGTTTTTACCAGCTGCAAATGAAAAAAATCGTTAAAGAGATTATTCCAAAAAATAAATAATTAAATAAGGTAGTGACGCCAAATAAGACCAGTGTCTTAATAAGGCCAATTGTAAATATTTCCTTAAATATAGATATTATATACTATATATTCAGTCTGTTAGCTAAAACTGGTACTCTGTTTTCGCTGTATTGCTTTTTATTATTGTTCTTTTATGTTAAATCGAAAAGTAGACAGTGCCCTAATAAGGCCAATTGGATTGCCTTTTTTAACAGATATGTACACCAGGGAAAGGGCACAGTGGACCGAAGAGGCCATTGAAGCTGCAATGAATGCCGTACGAAATGGCATGGCTATTGATAAGGCAGCACTTACATTTAATATTCCTCGTCGTACGTTACGTAACCATCTAGCTAGTGATAATTCACAAAAACGACTTGGGCGGCCTCTAGTACTTACAAAACCTCAGGAAGATGAATTGGTTAAGCAAATTGTGTGGCGTGGGTATGCCATTAACCCCCAAAATATTACGAAAAAACGTGTATGCTTTTGTCAAAGAGTCAGAAATAAGGCATCCATTCTCGGTTAAAAATGAGATAGCTGGAAAAAAATGGATGAAATTGTTTTTTCTAAGCATCCTGATATTGCAAAGCGTCGAGCTCAAAAACTCAATTTGGCCAAAGCCCAAAAATTGAATCGTACAAGATTAGTGACTATTTAGAGAAATTTCGACAGATTTTATATGATCAAGGCTTCGCAGGAAACCTGCTCAAATTTACAACATGGAAGAAAAAGGACGCCAGCTTACACTGCATCACCAAAAAACTGTATTGGCTAGTAAAGGTGTTAAAAGGGTTTAAAAGATGTTATATCGTTGTATCAGAGCACGGCGCAAATATAACAATCGTGGCATGTGGCAACGGCATAGGCAACAGCATTCCGCCACTTATCATATGAAAGAACAACGAGTTAAACCAGAATGGTATTGTAATCTTCCAGCAGAAACAAAAATTATAATGACCAAGAAAGGAAGCATGACAGCAGATGCATTTATAGAGTGGTTAGATCACATCTGCCGATTCAAAAATCCTGGATTAGCCCTTTTAGTTTTTAATGCAGCTTCATCTCATTTAGACAATAGAATTGTAGAAGCTGTAACAAAAAAAAAGATGTAACTCTGTTTTGTCTACCGTCCAACAATACCTATGAGCTTCAACCACTGGATAAAACAGTCTTCTGGAGTTTTGAATCTTACTGGGATGAGGAGGTGTTAAACTTTTGGGTGAACCATAATAACATACGTACCATCAACCGAGTAAGATTTGAAGCCGCTGGAAAATGGCCATTCAATCTGAATGCTATTCCGCATGCTGCCTTTGCACCTAGTTGTCTGACACAACGAGAGATTGAGAGAGAATGAGAGAGATGACACAACAGCTATCCTGCAGCGGTGTAAACTAAAATAATAAAAGCAAAGCATTCTCGAGTAGTGAGAAAAGAAAAATTACCAAAAAAAAGGACTGATCAAAGTTTTTCAAACTTACATCTCGGATGAAGACTGAATCATCTGGGTCTTACACAAGTGGTACATCTTCCAGCGAGGATTTATAGTGATGCAGTTTACACGTCAAATAGATATGATAAAAATAAGGTAAGACAGAGCCACGTGACTAAATGCAAGTTTTAGTTCCAGTGGTTTGCTGAATACACCGAAGTTAAAAGTATCAACAAAAAAAAAAACGTCAACAGGCCATTCATGCGAAAGCACAAGAAGTTACCAGAGATTTATTTAGTGTACAATCTCATAGCTCAGCAAATAATATTGTTACTTCTACCTGACAGACGATAGGTTCCCCTTCGCTATAAAAACAACGATCGAACTTTCTGGAGACGAGCCGATGTAAAAAGACCAGTTTTTACACCAATTCGCCGCTCTGTCTACGTCGAGAATGCAATCGAACTTGCGACGATGTCCCAATGGTTTCATATAAATAACGGGAGATTTTCATTGAGGAGACCAGTTAGAAAAGAAAATCGCGAATGGGTGTTTAAATGTAACGAACGTAATAATAAATTATTGTAAGATAAATTATTATAAATAAACTTTAAATAAATTAAGTTTGTAAAAGTTATAAATATTGAACCTTTAGTAAATTAAATTAAGAACAAGAAATTAGAACTATAAAGACTTTATAATATAATAATAAAGTATGTCCTCGTTGTGTGTAAATGTGACATACTCGTATATGTACTTAATGTATTTACAAATTTTTATTTTTAATATGAATAAAAGTTACTTTCACTAAACTTTGTATTTATTCTTTAATTCTTAGGTTTAAAATTTATTATCTACGTAAATTTCTTTAAAAAATGAAACTGGCCTTATTAAGTTACCAGTTCCAAATAAGGCCAAATATTCAAAATAAATTCAATGTTATAATTTTATATTTCTTAATTTATTTATTAAGTATATTATCGTGAAATTTGATAGCTAAAATGTTAGGCAATACGTATACAAGACTTTTCCCCCCGTATTTTTGCTGGATAAAATATTACAGACATTTAAACCTTAACGTGGCCTTAATTGGCGTCCTTATCTTAATATACATATACATAATAATATACATAAAAAGTTTAATAGCAAAATTGAAGTTACGTTTATAAGTGAAAGTAGCTGAAATTGCACCGAAGCCAATATTGTACCAGCGCTTCATTTATCCTTTATGAGGAAGCCAGAGCGATCTTATGTCGTTTAGTGGAACTAGTTACTACCTAGAGTTAAGTGCTGAAGTTTTACAACGTTCACATTTGTCGATTTTGTTTTATCGAATTTTTTGTATTTCATGGTGTTTCAGTATAGATTTCTAGTTCCATACGTAAGGTTACAGCATCTGTAAAGGTATGTGCAAACCATTTTTATTCACAAAATACAAGAAAAGCATGTATGTAGGTGCATAAAACGAGTTATTTACCTTTGTATGGCCATTTTTAGGTTACGAATCGTAGTTTATTTACATAAAGTGCAAATTTACCATATTGTACCAAGCCGAGTTGCTTTTATTGTACCGGCACAATTTTAGATACCATTGGGTATTTAAGATCTACTTATTTTCAAAAATAAATAAATAAATAATACACACCGTTCTTGTGTGTTTTAAATACGTAAAAGTCAATATGGGACTTGGAATGTGAACGACATGAGTCCGGCCATTTAAACATTTCGTAATGGAGACATGAGATTAAATTTTTGCTACGGGCAGTATGGAATCCCTAAGCCTACCTTGCTCTGTCACCTTAAGCGGACCAATGTCAAGGCAAATTAAGAAATGGGGTTGGACGAAGCAGTTTGTTACCAGAAGCAGTGGAGAAGGAGCTAGTTGATCACATTTTAAAACTGGAAACGTTGATGTTTGGCCTCACGATTAATGATGTTCGACGGCTTGCATTTCAAATCGTCGAGAGAAATCAAATACCACATAATTTTAATAAAGAATCCCAAATGGCAGAAAAGAAGTAGTTTTATGCTTTCAAGGCTCGCCATAAGGACATAATCTCACTAAGAGAACCTCAAGCAACGTCCATGATGGGCTTAAAAGGATGCAATAAAAGGAATGTTTACGTCTTTTTCGACCTTCTGGAAAAAAATTATTGATGAGAATAATATAGTGTAACTCGCTTATTTAACGTTGACGAAACGGGTGTCAAAAATGCGTAAATAAAATGCCAGAAGTTTCTTGCACGAAAAGGTAAATGATACTCGCACTCAATATCCCAACCATATACACACAAGGAAAGGATTTTTTATGCATTCTCGTGCAAAAATTCTGGGAAGAGGTCGTATTATCCAGCAGCCATGCGACTCTGATACTGTGATATATAAGTTTCTATTTCGGCTTCTACAATTGGTGGTGCAGTGTCGTCATTTGTCATCGTCATCGTTTTGGTATTGTGTATGATGGTGATAATTCTGTTATCTTCTAATTGTCACACATTTTATCCATATTATTTTTATTCTTTTGTGTCAATTTTCTGTAATTATTGTTAATTATGTTGGTTTACTTTATTGTTGATTATAACGTACACTGAAGTGTCTATGGATAATCGCCACGTATATCACCTCCTTGGCTTTACCAATTTTGTCTTAAATATGTTAAAGTTTACTTAAGTTATTCTTTATATCTCAGTAAAATTCCATGAACCCGAGATCGTAACATCCATAAAGATCGGACGTCTGCGCTGGATGGGCCATGTTGAACGGATGTTGGAGACTGAAACGCCAGAGCATATAATGAGGCAAACACCAGTGGGGAGAAGGTCAAAGAGAAGATCCAAACTTAGATACATGGAACAAGTGGAACAAGATCTGAAAACACTTAAGATTACCAACTGGAAAAACAAAGCAAAGAACATAACAGAAGGGCAGAAAATCCTAGAACAAGCCAGGACCCAGAGAGGGTTGTCGAGTTACTGATGATGATGATGAAAATTCCATCCACTACTTAATCTCATTTACGTACTACCGTTGGTGCCTATGCTTAAATTATGTTATTTTTTATTGGAAATAAATCAATTTGTATGAGCACAGTGGCATACCCAGGGGGGTTTGGGGGTTAAAACAGTCAATATTAAGGTAGCATCATAAAAAACATTTTGGTGCCCAACCAAAACCCCCCAGAGAAAATTTCTAGGTGCGCTACTGGATGAGCATTATTCTCTAGTATATTGCAGCAAAGTTAGTACGTGTTTGTGTGTGCACTCTAGCGCTTTTCACTGTGAACACCAGCAAAGACTGGATGATGGCATCTATGAAATGACATTTGACAGGGTAATGAACAGTGAAGTGATCAGTGATCATTTAGTGCCCTATCCGGTCCGGATGTTGGCGATCATCAAGGCTATCATGGTTTTGTTGACTGCTCTGCGAAACAGCTCCACAGAGGTCATCCCAAACCATTGTCGGAGGTTGTTCAACCACGAGATAGGACAGCGTCCCGGCCCCCTCCTGTCAAATACTTTACTCTGCATAACGAGTTGAAGAATTCGATATTTTTCTTCGTTCCGCACGACGTGGCCGAGGTACTTAAGCTTACGTTGTTTCACTAAATTAAGCCCCTTTTTTTTGTCATGCGCTATAGGACCTTAACGTTGGTGACATGGTCCATATACTATATTTTTAGTATCCTCTTGCAGGTCCACATCTCGAAGGATTCAATCCGCTTTTCTATGGCTTTCGTCAGTGTCCAGGCTTCAACTCCATATAATAACACTGGAAGAATGTAGCACCTCACTATCCGCATCTTGGTTCCTAAACTGAGATCACTGCAACACAGCAAGGATCTCAACTTGATAAATGTAGACCGTGCCATTTCAATTCTGGATCTATTTTCATGAGCGTAGTCCCATTGTGAGTTGAGAGTAGTTCCAAGATAAGTGAATGTATCGATTCTCTGGATTTCTTCGCTACCTGCCGTTAGTGCCCCGGGATCTAAATTTGCACGGCTGACAACCATGAATTTAGTTTTCTTAATATGAAGGTCGAGTCCGTATGGTATGCTCACAGTTCTCACTCGGTCTACTAAGGCTTGCAGATTATTTAGGCTGGTTGCTAGTAACACAGTGTCATCGGCGTAGCGCATATTATTGATGTATTCACCATTCACGCGGATTCCCATTTCTAGGCTTGTGAGGGTTTCAGTAAAAATTTTCTCAGAGTATATATTGAAAAGAGTCGGCGAGAGCACACAGCCTTGCCTTACTTCTCGCATGATCTTCACTTGGTCGGTGAGCTGGTCTTCGACCTTGATTTGAGCACGCTGGTTCCAGTACCAAATTGCATTTCACCAACATTTTTATCCTTTGTGTCACTATTTCTATACACCTGTCAGCTTAATATGACTCTATATAAAACTGAATTTAGATTCTTATTAAGATTTGTAATCTTTACTTACTTCTAGGTTTTCTTGGAGGCCTCCTCTTTGATCTGGCTGATATCCTGGCTAGATGCCTTGTCGAGGGCGGGAAGTCTAGTCCATCGTCTTTATCTTGAGCTACTAGTCTTCGTTCCTCTGCGAACATTCGGAGCCATCTTTGTTTATCGTTGGAAGACCGGCAACAGAATAGTAACCATTTATCTCGGACTAGACTATACAACTTTATGGCGTGTCGCACAGTGACTCCTAGGTGAGCATCTACAACATTAATGATAATTTTTAAGAGAACTTTTACACTAAACTTCAATTTCATTGAATTTTCTTGTGAATTATTACATAGAAGCAAATTTATAGAATTTTTCTAGAAAGATATCAAGAAATAGATAATCAGTAAATTTATAGTGTATTTGTATTTGTATTGTAAAATAGTATGAAGAAAATTTTAGAGAAAAACCAGAAGCAAAGGAGAGAGGAGAATGTTTTCCCTGATTATAACATAATGAAGTAGTAAAATGTGAGATTAACAAATTATTAAATTTGCCAACTTACCTTTTCCATCAGGTACATCAATTACTTCACTAGTATCTAAACAAAATCTTCCTTTATACACATATATACTTCTTTTAAGAATATCCTAAAACATAATAATATATTAATATTCAATATTTCAAAGAGACATATTACCTTACCTTTTTACAATATACAATCTGATGATCAAAGAGAAATAAGGTAATATTATTGGTCCACATACCAGTCGTTACTTTAACTACTTCTCCTTGATGAATTAATTGAGAACTAACTTCTATGAGATCTTCACCCTAAGGAAGAAGAAATGGCAAATGGTAAAACGTGCTTGTTAAACTTAATTTAAAATTATTATGAAACTATTAGATTTAATAAAAAATATAAATATACACATTTTGCTGCTTCCGTAAGAGTTGATATTTTAAATTTGGTATAAAATTAATTATTCATAAAGACAAAATAGATGTTATTTAGAAATAATCATAAATATTTATCAGTTGAAAATCACAGTTATGACATCTTCACACAGAGAAGATATTCTTTTCCTGTATACAACAACACAAACAAAACTCAAAGTCGAAGGACAAAATACGCAATCCACTGAATACTTATATAGGAAAAGAATATCAGAGAAGATCGCTTGGAATGAAATATTGGAAAACAATATCATCGTTGAAGGCTGGAAAAAACTCAAAAATAACATAATTAACGCAGCAACAGAATCACTTGGAGAGAAGAAAGTAAGGAACACCAACATATCAAAAAAGAAAACACTATAGTTTAGAGAGGAAGTGAAGACAAAATGTGAAGAAAAGAAGAAAGCCTTTTTACAATACACACAACACAACAAACACAACAAACACAACAGGCATACAATCACTATAAACGAATACTTATGTTAAACGAAAAAAGGAACACTTGCAGAGTTTCTCAAAACAGATGGAACACGACTTCTACTACGGAACACAAAAAGGAAATATGGAGAATGATCAGAGGACAAAGAAAAGATGTGAACGAACTAATAAAAACGAAACACATTCAGAAGGTAACATGGTTAGACTACTTTCGATCCCTATTTGCTAAAGGTGACGATAATGAACCACCAACACCAGAGGTGACGGCAAACGAAGAGATAAATATTGAGGAGGAAGAGGTAAAGGAAGCATTTAGGAAATTTTCTCCATTCTTCTTTGTCCTCTCATTCTCCGTCTTCCAATCCTCTTCTTTTCATGGCTTCATCTACCTCATCTCTGAAAGAACTTCTTGGTCTGCCTCTTTTGCTTTTTCCTATGGGACTCCTCTCTGTTATTTTTGCTATCCATCGGTTTGTAATGTAAATTAAAATCACCTTAAATGTAATTTAAGGTGTCTTTCTTTATCTCCATTCGTCTTTTGATTTCGTTAGTTATTTTGTCCATTCTGGAAACTCTGCAGCTTCTTCTTCAGTAGTCCATTTCTGTGGCATTTATTTTGTTTCTGCTGCTTTTGTTTAAGACCCAATTTTCTGCTCCATATGTTGGAATGCTGCAAATCATCGTGTTATAAATTCTTTTTTTGTTATGTGTCTGTCCCATAGGATTGAATTCAGTTGTCTTATAGAGTTTCTGGTTTGACCAACTCGATTTTTAATTTCTTCTTCTGTAGTACCTCTATTTGATATAATGAACCCCAGGTATTTAAATTTATCGGACCCCTTAATTTCACGCCCGTCATCCACTTCCAGGTTTCTTGTTGGTTCTTGTATTCTGTTCAGATATTCTGTTTTGTTAATGTTTATTTCCAGGCCATTTATATAATATTCTTCTTCTAGTTTTCGAACCATATAACTTAGATCTTCCTCGTCTTGTGATATTATGACCTGATCGTCGGCGAAACTGAGGGTATACAGATGGTCGTTCCTTATGGGTACTCCCATTCCCTCACATTTCCTTTTTCATGGCTTTAGGGCGTATTGAAGAATTATTTTATAGAGTGTAGGTGAAGTCAAGCAGCCCTGTAGGAGACCTTTCGTGGTTTTAAACGGTTTTCCAAACTTGTTACCTACCTTGACTGTAACATTATTATGGGTGTACATGGACTTCACTACATGGATCAGCTTATCTTCTACTACTATTTGTTGCATGGCTTCCCACAGTCGTTATCTGGGCACAGAGTCGATGTGGTCAACACATGATTTCCCAGCTGTAAAACCTGCCTGGTCGTACTCTATTTTATTTTGGATTTGTTTTTCTATTTTTTACTTTATTATTTTTCCATATAATCTTCCTATAGATGGTAAAATGCTAAGCCTCTGTAATTTTCACATTTTCTTCTATCCAATTTCTTAAAAATAGAGATAATATGGGCTATCGACCATTCTTCAGGTTGTTGTTCGGTGTCCAAGGCTCTTTGAAACATGGTATGTATCATACGGAACAATTTTTCAGAGCCGTATTTAATTAGCTCGGTTGCTTTCCCTCCGGGGCCTGCAGACTTATTATTTTTTATTTGCTTTATGTTCTTTTTTACTTCTTCCAATGATAAATTTAGTTGTTCCTTTGTATTTGTTGTTTGTTGTTCTTTTTCCATGAATTTTGTTCGTTTTTGTGTGAGGAGTTATTGGTAGTAATCAGTCCATTGTTTTTCGCTTATGAAAGTAAAATGTGTTTTTTCCTGTGTGTTTTTTTATCACTTTCCAGGATTCTGAGTTCTTTGTAACTCCTATGTATTGTTCGATGTTCATATATGTTGATTTCCAGTTATCATTTTTATCTTTTGTTATTAATCTTTTTACTTCTCTGTTCTTCTCTCTGTATCTTTATAGGTCCACTTGTTCTTTTGAGCTTGACCATTTATGATATAACTGTTTCTTCTGTTTAATACATTCTTCCGTACTTCCGTGCTCTCTTCGCAACCTAAGGCTTCCGCTGCTGCTTCCTTTATGCAGGATTTTATATGTTCATATGTTTCGTCTATGTTCTTAAAACTAAACTCCTCCAGTTCTTGGTCTAACCTTCGTCTGTACAAGTCTTTCACGCATTCTTCCCTTAGCAAGTGTAGTTTGTACTTCGTTTCGGTCTGCGTTTAAGTTTCATTTACCTTTGTTCTTTTTGATTGATTTGTGGTTTTCCAAAGGAATCGCATGTTTGCTATCAGTAATTTGTGGTCAGAACCACATTCCGCTCCCCTTTTAACTCTGACATCTGACATTAAGGAAATTTAAAAATAGAAAATCACCAGGAGAGGACAGAATACCGAATGAACTCCTAAAGTACGGAGGACCAGATCTGACCAAACAACTATTAAAACTTTAGTAAAATTTAGTAAAATTATAACACTAGCAAAAGACCAGCAAGGTTTTAGGTCGGGAAGATCATGCACCGAAGCTATATTTATAATAAGGCAAATAAGTGCAAGAGAAATCATTAGAATACAACAAACCGGCATATCCATGTTTTGTGGACCTTACAAAGGCGACTGACCGAGTCAAATTAAAAGACATTATCCACTTACTGTACGCAAGAGAGATACTTCTAGGAATAATCAAAACGATCGAAAGTATCTACCAAAACAACACAATAAAGGTAAAAGTAGAAGAAGAACTAACCGAACCTATTGAAGCTGGCAATGGGATAAGACAGAGAGATTCCCTGAGTCCTCTATTGTTTAACCTGATTGTAGACGAAATAATAAAAAAAGTTAAAACTAAAAAAAGATACCAAATGGGAGAAAAACAACTTATAATATTCTGCTATTCAGATGACGCAATACTAGTATCTCAAAGTGAAGATGATTTACAACGTATGCTGCATCAGTTTAACATAACCGCCAGAAAATTTAACATGTTAATTTCACCAAAAAAAAAAACAAAATGCATGGTTACAAGAGCAAATTTACTAAGATGTAAATTGGAGCTGAAAGGTCAGATAATAGAACAGTTTAAATGTCTAGGCATCACATTATCTAGCTACGGAAAGCTCGTAACCGACTTGAAAGATCAAGTGAATAGAGCAAACAGAGCCGCAGGCTACCTAATTGAAATAATATGGAGAAATAAAAATATCGGGAAAGGACGAAAGGCAGAATTTACAAAACAATCATCAGACCAATAATGACATACGCGGCAGAAACAAGACTTGACACATAGAGGATAAAAAGGATGTTAGAAACAGCAGAGATCAAAATACTTGAGAAAACTAATGTTAAGACACTATGGGACAGAGCTAGAAGTACAGACATACGACGTAGATGCAAGGTGGAGAACATCAAGAACTGGGTAAAAAATAGAAGAGTAGAATAGAGCGATCATATAAGCCAAATGACAACAAATAAAGTAGTAAAGACGGCAAGAGACGGTTCCCCAATACGAAGACCATCAGTAGGAAGACCACGAAAAGGATGGAACGACAAGTTACTGGATGCATATTGAAAAACAGACAGAGTCTTGTCTATATAAAAAGAAGGAAAAGAAGCTTTGACAAAAAATCACTATTTGTAGCAGCACAAGTCTTGGCGTAAACTGTTGCAGCGATTTCAGATCAAGTTATAGATTTCCGAAAACCAGAAGATGGTATTAAGGCACCTAATTGAAATGAAATACGTTGAATAGTTAGAAGCTGAGTTGATGGAAGATAGAATAATCGTGGTAAATGACCGAAAGGATTGAAACGCATAGATTATGTAGGTAACTGAATCTCAATTAGGCACATAAAAACATAAGTATTAAAATATAGAATTTTGAATGAATATATTTTAAAATGTTCATCTTACCTCCCAGCCTTCAACTCTTTGTTGCCATGCTGCCAGCTTCTCCAAGCTTTCCATCCTCCTCTTTCTCTCGTTAATCAGCATCGCCACTCCACGCATCGCTTCCAGGGCTTCCTTGATATCCTCATAGTCAGCGTGGTCGGCTTTTGTGTATTTCAGAAGTTCAGCCAGTTGTAACGGGTATTTGCAGATCCTTTGGATGGGAGTAAGTAGATATCCGTCCAAAGGAATTTCTATTAAGCCTCGCATCAGCCTACATGCCTCGAAGAATTTGCTATAGTTTTGGAACTGATACAGTTCTTGCAGAGTCGCGGTTGCTATGGGATGACTGTTGCAATAATCGGAGTACATTTTGAATCCTAAAATAATAATTTCATGAAAATTATGAGTAAAAAACAAGAAATGCGATAGCTTTCTTTATACAACATATAAAGAATGTTTGGTAAACTTACCAGAACGATGTTTAAGAAAGCACGACCCCACACAACTTTTATAAGGTGCTTCCCACTCTATACAAGCTTCCAAGTCTTTTAAAAACCCTAACTGAAAAGTCAAAATGTCTTCTAAATTCATAAATATCGCGTCTATGTGTTCCTTGGTAAACATATCGGTCCTTTTTTGACATTCCGCAATATATCCCTCCACTACGTCTTGTAACACTTTAACGAAGTCCCGCTCGGTATGCACCAATTCGCGCACCACACTCGTTCTGACTTGGTCGTTCGACAAAAGGGAGATACTAGTTCTACGTCGTATCTGAGAAGGCATCCGCTCACCGGAAGCCATCGCCGCCAGGCAATCTTCTACGGTATCTTCCTGACTCACCCTTAAGCGCACAAACTGGGCAGGGAACCATCCTGATTTGCCTTTAGTTGAGCCCCACCACCAGTCTCTAAAAACAAAAGAAAAACCAAATTAACAATCCAAACGTTGGAATAAGTCAAGAAAATATAATTTTATAGAAATATGACACAACGTTTGTTTACTTATTTATCCAGAACTTATGAGAGAGCTGTTGCACAATATATTCTAGCATCATAAATTTGAAAATTTGATATTGAACCACTTCCTTAGGTTTTGAAGCCAAGATAGTCTTCTTCTCCCTGGTGTTCTCTTTCCAAATACCTTGCTCTAAAGAATGAGTTGCAATAAGTCATATATGTGTTCATAATTTGCGCTCTTTGATTGTGTTAGTGATCTCGCATTCCTTGCCCATTCTACGTAGGACCTCAATTTAGTCACACCACATCTCGAAGGCCTCGAGCTTTCCTAATGAAGCTTCAGAGTTACCTACTACGATACCCCTTTGGTTTTCTGACCAGGGCCTGAACCATCGTCAGCTAAATCATTTACAGTGAAGTAAATGCTATTCGACTGCATGGCCCTCTTAGCTAACTGACCGACGACTTGAAAAATCTTTAACAATTAATTGTATTTTTATTCAAGGATGTACCAACAACAAGGCGTTATGAGGAAATAAATAATATATAAAGACTATGACTGACAGGAAAGATAAAAACAATCATTTGGTTGATAATTTTGTTGATAAGATTAAACAGTAACTGGAAAGAGTTTTGCAAATGGAGCAAAGATGTATCAGAAATATAATTGTCTTAGTCTGCGACAAACCACGAACTATATATTCACTTCATCTCATTCACAAGCCAGATTGATTCTAATAAGTAATAATTGAAAAGGAGGAACCTGATAACCTCACAAAGCAAAGTTACTTTCTTAATGGACTGAATACTGCACGAGTGGATTAACAATAATATCACATAAATATACAATAAAAGATTGCGAGTGTATCGATTAAATTAACATGCATTAAATTGCCGGGTAAGCTTTACACTTTACTACATACTTTAAATTAAAAGAATGTAAAACGAGCATTTTTGTGATGAACTTTTGGAGGACGATTTCATTTCTAGGATCACAAGCAGTAAAGATTTTACTGTCATAAGACAGTAACATGGAAGCAAGTAAGAGAGCAGATAAATTGACTCTAAATTTCTTTGCTACAGCTTATTCTAAATGGTAAGAAAAGCAGACAGACTCTAAACTTATATGGAAGAAAAACAAGCTATAACATACTACGCGAAGCTTTAAGTGTGTATTTATTAGCCTAGTCAAATCATCATCGTATTATTTCGGGGAGCCATTTAAGACTTTTTAACGTTTTGTGCGGTATTTAAGTGAAAAAGCATAAAGGAATTATGAAAGCTACAAGAGACAAAGAATAATCGGTTAAAGCAAGATCAAACAAACTGCTATGAAAAGAGTTTGGTAAGAAAATGGAAAAATATAGCATATAAATGTCTAGCTTATCTATAAAAGGTCGTAATAGACTCAAAAAACCACTGCGAAAGGAATAAAAGGTTTTGAGGATGAAGACGATAAAGTTATTCCCTGGCAGACGTTATTAGAATATAGCACCAGTACTTAAGGATGTATTAAATAGCGAAAAAGGGGAAATACAGAGACTACTAATTGCAGGACTACTGCAATTATTTGCGGTAAGACAGTTTATAGATAAATACAGTTTGAAAAAAAAGAGAGCTACATTTGATATTCGTAGATGTTAAGAAGGCGTACGACACAGTCCCTAGATAAAAGCTATGGAGATGTATGAGAGAGAAATAGGTTCTTGAGAAGTACGTAAGGCCCGAGAAGGATATGTGTGAATGAACGTACATCAAAGTAAGGACTGCTGTCGGATTGATCGAACGTTCTCCAGTGACGGTTGGTTTGCATCAAGGATCTTCACTGAGTCCTTACCTGTTTAATCTTGTTATGGATGTACTGACAGAGAAAGTAAGGAAGGGAGCTCCTTGGTAAATGTTCTTTGCTGATGATATTGTGTTAGTAGAGGTGAACAAAGAAATGTTGGAGGAGAAGTTACGAGTGTTGGAGAAGGGCTATTACAGAGGGAGGACTTAAGGTTAGCAGGTCGGAAATTAAGTATATGTGGTAGGAGGAAGAAAAATGGTTGGGAACGTAGAATTGCTTGAAGAAAAGCTAGTATGAGCAGGAGAATTTAAATACCTTGGTTTCTACACAACGAAAAATGAGAAACTAGATCGAGAAATTGTCCAAAGGATACAAGCTGGTTGGTTTAACTAGAAGCGAATGAGCAAGGTACTTTATGATCGAAAAATCGGGGAAGGGTTGAAAGGGAAGAAATACAAGAGTGTGGTGAGACCTGGGTTAGTGTACGGCGGTGAAGTGTGGTCTGTAAAGAAGACCTAGAAAAAGAAGATGGAGGTAGCTGAAATGGAAATGTTGCGGTGGATGTTAGGTAAGACTAGAAGGATCAGAAACGACTTGATTGGAAAAAGAGGAAGGGTGCCTCTTCAGTCTACAGTCTAAACAAAGATTCAAGAACTAAGACTGCAATGGTTTGTTTATGTCAGACGTAGAGATGAAAACTATGTGCGACGAATGATAGAGCTGTTAGAAGTTTATGGAAGAAGAGATAGAGAAAAACCGAGGAGAAGATGGAAGGACTGTGTGGCAGAGGACTTGAGAGTGAAAGGTTTAGATGAAGAAGACCCGATGGACAGAAATGAGTGGCACCGAAAAATAAGAAACAGCGACCTCTGCAAAGTGAAAAACTGAGGAAGAAGAAGAAGACGAACCAGCATATCACCATAAGCGGGAGAAACGTGGATCTTAAATGAACGGATTCGGAAGAATTCAAGAGAGCGATATGTAGTATCTTCGTGCGAAAGTTGGTCAAATTGTCATTAGCTAGAGTGAGTCTAAACATTTAATACAGTTCGGACTGAAAAGAAAGACTGCAAAAAGGTAAAAGAGATTTGGAAGATGAGTGTGGACAAAAAAAACGTGTAAAGAGGGAAAGGTCGACCAAAACTTGGAAAAGCAGTTAACGTAACATTCACCTCCATCCCGTAAGGAAGAAGAAGATAGATTTTGTATGTATGCATGTTTCGCGCTAAACTTATATCTAGACTGTTTTAAAAGTACGATGAAAAACATATTCGTAATAAATTATGTATCCCACGTACCTAGACAGACAAAACACCAAGGTAAAGATGAATGCACTCGAAAACAGATAAAATAGAAAACCATTGGTTAACTAAATCGTGACTATGAAAAAGTGACGACGAAAGTTTATCTAGATGGCAGAAAACACAAACACTAACAGTAACTAATACTCCGGACACTTCAGTAAATGAGTGCCGAGCATTCAATGTAGGAGGAACCAAAAATACGTCATTCACATAACAAGTTGCAATCTCATAATTGGCTACTTTTTCTGCTGTACTTTATTTAGATTATAAAAAATTCTAATTACCTATTTGCTGTTTCTAGAACCTCAATGACATCTCCAGCACGGAAAGCGAGTTCTTCAGATTCGATGGCGACGTGATCAAAAACAGCTTCAGCTAAGATAACCATTTCCTCGTCGATGGCCATGTCTAGGGATTTTTTTCTTTCGACTAAAGATGCTAATGACGACTCCGAGTCTGACATCATCTCGTCGTCAGATGTTCCTTGACGATCGTCATCGCTTGCCATATGGAATCCACTCAGTTTTATACCTAAAATAACTGGAATTTAGAACGTATTCTCATTCAATCAAAGAGAAACAATAAGATAAATACGATATACACGACCGTTTAGTTTCTATGCTGTTTATACAAAAAGAATAATAATGATAATGGTGATGATAAATATGTAGAAGTAAGAGATGTCTGCTAAATAAATGATGATATTTAATCGTTAATTTCTGCGTAATCGCGTTTTTTTTCTCCTATAACAGGTGATATAATAAGTATATACTGATTTACCTCCACTTTTAGCCCTCATCAATGGCGACAGCTTATCGATGTCTAGCGGTTGGCTCAAAGATCTTCTTAAAGTTCCTCGCCGACCTAATGGTCCCCTTCCTCGCATTACTACTCCATCTGGCGGTGTATCGGGTGGTTTTTTTCTGGGACTCTGCGACCGGCTTTGAAGACCTGGAGGACCCGGAGATGAGAACATCCTGCCAATCGAACGGTCCCAATTCAAAATACGACGACCTCCCAAGTCAGAACGGGTCCTGCGAACTTGCTGGTGCTTGTCGTGGGCGCGTTGTTTTAAATCAGCCTGAAAAAAAAAAATTAAAATAATAAATATTAATATTTAAGGACGTATTATATATTAAACTCAATACTATGGTACTACATATGTCTCCAGTCTGTTTCAAAAGTATTAGACCTTCTTTCATAACTTTGCGTCAAAACATTCGATATTTGGACCAAGAAGGGCATTATCACAAACTTAATCTATATCGCAGTTGCTAACGGGAAAGGCAAGGAAAAAAAAGAAAAATCTAGTTAATAATGACGTGAAAGATGCTAGCAAAAAATTTGCTTTAAATTTTGCTTCTAACTCAAAAAAAAACGACGTCATCTTGTGGCGTTAGTTCTGTGACGCTAACCTTAGCATTTAACTCTAGAAAAAACAGTAATACAACGCCAGTAAAGAAGCTTCCCTTTAAAAATTACGCTTCTATATCCGTTGCTGTTAGTACAGGCCTTTTGATCATGTATGCCCAACCGGCATGTTTTTGGTACTGTTTTGATTAACAAAGATATATTTTTCGTTGTTAGTTGTTTACTATACAAATAATGTTTATAACTCTACTCTCTAATTGTTGTTAATGACATTTGTATTGTTGCTTTGTGACATGTTTCATATTGTTGCCACGACAACATTTTCCCTCCGCCGTAAAGAAATGGGAAAAAAAACTGCTGCCGGCGGAGACATCAAACTTTGACAGGATCAAGTTAGATAAGTAATGTCATCATTGTTTGACGTTTGAAGAAAAAATTAATTTATAGGAAACACACAATCGCATAGCTATAAAAATGTTTCTTTACAATATTTTACCTTCCTCATTTTTAAATAATAAAGCCACATCAATATGTTACATTTTCCTGTATAATAGTATATTTTCCAACAAAGTTCTAAATATTACAAAAAGTCTGGATCCATATACAACATCGTTCGAAAATATAAAGTTTTTTCATATTTATAATCACTTCGGATAAAAGAGTGTTTCAAAGACTAGGGGCAACTTTTTTCGAACTTTTTAAATACGCAAGATTGATGTTTCTTTCAGTTGGGAAAACTTTCACGGGTTCCTACCTTTCCCATATTGCTATTTTTTTTTATATTTAAAAAGAGTTTTAGAATAAATTTAAACCGCCGGTAAATCTGGATTAAAAAGATTTGTTTTTGTAATTAAACTCTGCTAATTGGCGAACAAAGGATTCTCGAAGAAATAATATTATCTTTTGAACAGTGATCGTTTAATACGGTAATAAAAGATGGTAAAAAAATAATAAATTTTATTATTTAGTATTCGTGTTTCTATAATATATTTTTTATTAGTACTTTTAATACAAATAGTTTATATAAAAGTTATATTTTTATGAAGAACAAAATCATTTTCGCTAAATTTTTCTACTCATTTTATAAATTTTTAGATATGACTACATTGATCTTCTCACTCATTACCTTAAAATGCACATTACATAGAGAGATTTTCTTTTCAATGAACTCTACATTAATCATCAATCATCATAATTCTCTTTGTTCACTACGCGCAGTTGCTTCCCTAATTACATTTGAGCTTATCGTTTTTCTTACAATAAACCACAAAACTTATTAAAATTACACATTTTATTCATGTCTGAATTTCCAGTTTGGAAATCATTTTTAAAATGAAAATAAACAAGTTATTGTGACACAGACATGTCTTGTCTAGGCCGCCGCCCACCACGTTTTTTTTATTCTGGTACTCCTTTCAGGATTAACTTAACCAGTTTTCTGTCATTTTGGCATTATCTTGTGCGAAATTTAGACAATCATAAAATACTACTTTTAAAAGTGCCACGTCAGGACTTCTTCTTCTTCTTAAGCTGCCGTCTTCTTTCGAAGATTGAAGCAGTGGAATCATGCTCTGAGTTTGCACAGCCATGACATCCGTCTACATCTAACGCTACGTTTCCCATTGCCCAAATCCAACTTTTAGCGACTGTTTGATTACCCGCATATCGTAAATTATTAATTAGATTGCGTGTATGCAATGTGTACTGCCTCTTGCATCATCATCACCCAGCCCTTTGCGTCCACTGTTGGCCATAGGCCTCTCTCATTTTTGTCCATTGTGTTCTATTTTGAGCACTTATCCAATTTCTTTACATTTTATTGAGATCGTCAGTCCAGCGAGTAGGGAGTCTTCCTCTACTTCTTTTGTCCAACCTCGGCCTCTACTCAAGTGATCTCTTAGTCCACCTTTCATCACTGATGCGGGCGACGTGTCCGGCCCAGTTCCAGTGTGGAAATTCGAGAAATTACATCGGCCTCTTGCATAATCATTTTTAAGTTGTTCAGAAGCTCCTTATTTATGATGACTCGAATATTTTCCTAATTATTGTTCCTCATAGCACTCTGCAACAAAACGGTGAATAGTTAAGGAAATATGATGTCTCCTTGCCCAATACCCTTTGTCCAAGCTGTTGTGCTATTATATGTATATATATATATATATATATATATATATATATATATATATATATATATATATATATATATAGATATATATATATATATATATATAGATATATATATATATTATATATATATATATATATATATATATATATATAGATATATATATATATATATATATATATATATATATATATATATATATATATATTATATATATATATATATACAGCACTCTGTAATCTGTAAGCGCTCTTAACATGGAGCTATGCTGAACTGAGTTAAATGGTCTCTCAAATTATACAAACATTAATATCAATGGCTTGTTGTATTCTACAACTTTTTCTGTAATATAAACTTTCCTTATTACTTGTATGTGATCATTCATTCCAAAGCCACTCCTAAATCCGGTTTGCTATAGTAGTTGGTGAAAATCTAGTCCCGATTTGTGACTAATTATTTTCATAAAGCTTATATAAATGAGATAGCTGATAGATCTGCGGTTTCCTTCAACGGCATTTTAAGGCTTTTATAACGCATTTTCCTACTAGTTTTATCATTTCAGTTACAATGCCATCTTCTCCAGGTGTTTTGTTGTTCTTCATACCGTTTAAACAACGTTTAAGGCTGATAAAATTTCCTTCTCGGTATATATCCCGAAGTTCCTTTGATCCTTGATTCTGTATTACTGGGATTTCTATCTCTGAAGTAGGTTCAACTCGACTATATAATGTTCAATACTACTCTTTAATGATTTTCGGTCATGTAATACTTTAGGTCATGTAATATCGACGATAAAGACTTAAGGATCATTTCAAACCTCTACCAAGAACAAAAGGCTAAAATCAGAATAAAAAGCGAAACATCTGGAAAAATCAATATCGAGAAGGGATTAAGACAGGGATGTGTCCTATCACCTTTGCTGTTCAATGTTTACTCTGAGAAGATATTTCAGAAAGCTTTGGAAGGCACCACCGATGGTATAATTATAAACGGGCAATGTATAAATAACCTGCGATATGCTGATGACACTGTCATACTGGCAGATAATGCTGAAGCCCTGCAACGCTTAATGGACCGAGTAACGATAGCCTGTAGAGAATTTGGAATGAAATTGAATACAAAGAAGACAAAAACGATGGTCATCAGCAAGCACCAAAACAGAAGGGTGAAGGTCAATGTCGACGGAACAGATCTGGAAAGAGTAACAAGAACAACGTACCTTGGAAGTAATCTTGATGAAACTTGGGACCATTCACTAGACATAAGAATACGCCTGGAAAAGGCACGTACAATGTTTTACAAAATGCAAAAAGTTCTATGCAACCGCCAGCTGGGCATCTCTCACTCTTGAGAACTAGAATACTTAAGTGCTATGTTTTCTCCACCTTGCTCTATGGTGTTGAAGCCTGGACAATGACAGAAGCAACGTAAAAAAGAATCCAAGCATTTGAACTCTGGTGTTACCGTAAAATGCTCAGAATATCCTACATGAGCCATACGACAAATGCGGAAGTCTTGCGGAGGATGAATAAGGAAAGAGAGCTTATGCTTGTAATAAAAGAACGGAAAACACAATATTTTGCTCACATCATAAGAAATCAAAAGTATGAACTGCTCCAACTTATAATCGAAAGCAAAGTCAATAGCAAAAGAGGGCCAGGAAGACGACGCAACTCTTGGCTTAAAAACCTACGGCAATGGACGAACATGACCTCCATAGAACTATTCAGGGCTGCTACAAATAAGATTAAATGGGCAAATGTAATGGCCAACGTCCTTAAGGATAAGGCGCCGTAAGAAGAATGATTTTCGGGATCTCTTGTTGTTCATATATGGCACGTCCTTTGTTATTTTTTAAGTTTTATATAGTTCCTTTGTTTAACTTTTGTTTTAGGACTTTTAGATTTTCTTTTCCGTGTTATTAGTTATTGCGTTAGTGTTAAAGTTCCTTATGTCTTCATAACGTCTTTTGAAACGTTTTTGTTTAAATTTCTTAGCTATGTTATGCTTATTTTTTATTTTCCTTCTTTTTTGCATTAGGTTTCTTGTGTCACCTGTGAGTTTTTTATTTTTCCTTGTATGCTTGCGTTGACACTACTTTTGTGGCTTCTTTATTCTTTATTCTGGATTCCCATTCCCTGGCAGTGGTTTTTCCAATTTTGGATGGCTGCCTTAATATATAAATTAAACAGTAAGGGTGGCATACTGCATCCTTGTATTAGCCCTTTAGTTACTTTTATTGGCTCTGATAGTCCATTTCCGATTTTTAGGTAAGTAGTGTTATCTCTGTATACTTCTGTGATTATTCCTAAAAGGTATGGACTAATGCCGAATTGTTGCAAAACTTGCCACAATTTAAGTATTATACGCCTTTTCTAGGTCGATGAAGGCTAGATGTACTTCGGTGCCAACAGCTATTCTTTTTTCTATTAATTGTTGGAGTATAAACAAGTTATCAGTGCAAGATCTACCAGGCCTAAATCCACTTTGGTCTTCACTAATTAAATGTCTTACTACATTTTGTACTTTTCCATTTATTTTCTTTCCAAATAATCTCCGGAAAGTAGGTAGGACACTTAATCCTC